ACAATAAAGGTGATAAGACACATGTGAAGGCCTCCTGCGGAGCCCCAGTGATTCATGTTGTCTGTAACCTAAGGGAGCAGCCGTCAGAAAAGAAACACAACAACCTGACAGACGGTGTGTGGGCACCGAGATGGCCCTGAATCATCTTAATCATTCTCTTCCTGGACACGAAACAATGAGCAAAATAACTCACGTCCAACAGGACGACGAAGCTGAAAGAAGTGTCATAACAAGAAATTTATGAAGTTTAAAATTTTCCAGAAGGAAGTAAGGAATCCTTCTCGACTCTCTTTCAGAAATGAATCACAGCACCTGGAATAGTGATTTAGCTTTTCTGTGTTTAGAACCAGATTGTGGGAATCTGTTCTGTAGGTAAATGGGAGACGATGTGATTTAAAAAAGAACATAAAACAGGCTTTGTAATTAGTTTTTCTGAGACGTCTTTTATAACAACTGTACTATAAATGTTTGATTGCCGGTTTCAGCAACATTAGAAAACATTTCCACCATTTAAACGATGGCCGCAGTGCTGTGTTTGAAGTTTTAAGTATCGTAGTAATGGCGCACTTTTATAAAGAAGTAAAACATAAAAAGGCTTTGACAATGGAAGTCAAAAATGCCTTCGCTGCCTAAAAATTGCACCACTGATCTTGAGTTAGGAGGACAGTGCCATTACGTTGTTTTGCTGTTAGTTAAGCACGCTGACAATTCAGTGGGACGTGGACAAGTTTGTGGAAAATAAATCACAGCCCCTTCGTTTTTGTTGTGTAGTTATAATACTGGTCTGAGCCTTGANGCTGGGAGAAGGTGTTGGGTCGGGGGGAGAACATGTCCTTGGTAGAAAAGAACATAACTGTGTATTTCTGGGATGCAGTGGTTCAAGTCTTTGCCTTAAAAAGTAATAGAATAATAAATTAAAATCAGATCATAAATCAGTCCAATCATTCAAATTTATATTTCAATTCAAAGCTCATCGACAAAGGAAGATACAGTGACAGATATGAAAGTGGGGACGTTTAAAAGAAATTAATTCGAGTGGAAACAAACCTTTCAAATTCAACCTTGTATGAACTGATGGAATAAAAGAAGACCTTTTTTTAAATTAAATTTCTGAGGCTAATTTGTTGATAGCAGTCTGATTCTCTTTATTCTGACGGTACTTTAAACATCTTGAAAGCATCATTCAGATAAATACTGTACGCCAGTGACGTAATACTGCTGTTTGTTTCATTTAAACTTTGAACCAACATCAACATTTTTTTTTCTTTGGTCCAGTAGCCTCAGCAGCATCATTCCAACATCTGAAATAAAACTTAAATCTGAAAACTCTCAGCCCAATAAGTTTCAATCTAGATTGTAACTCAAAATGAATACATTTACATTAAAATAGCCGTGTCTCCACTGGTAAATGTGCAACACAGTATGTAAAACAGGGTGACAGTGTCCACCTCCAGGAGTACTTTGATCCTACTGTACAGCCATTGTCTGGTGTGTATCAGACCATAACACCCCCGCTGTCATAATAGCTTAATAATATGACAGTGCCGCAGTAATTGAAAGTCATTTTCCATCTGTTGTTTACATAACACACAGACACCGCAGCAGCTGCGCCTCCATCTAAATGCCACACAAAGTTGTGTTGAGCATTTACTGTGTGTGATAGTTCCCACTTGTGGATCCATGAACCTACAGTATTCAGAAGTCCTGGCTAATCCCAAGCCTAAGAATTTCAACCATCACTAGTATGAATACACAGTCAGTGCATAATCCAAATGCAAATACAAATTGAAAAGCTTCATCTTTGAGTCCCTTCTGTCTTTTTTAGCCAGTAAAGTGGCGTTCTCTCCGTGACTAAAACTTTTATGTGAAAAATACAGAAACAGAAAGTTGACTAACAATATGTGCCTCCAAATTGATTACCTTTTATCGACTGAAACCGTGTGTTGATTGAATTATAAACAGTGAACAAAGATTGGCGCACAGTCCATGTTCAATAATTTCCCCTGCTCCGGGTGAGCAGTGACTGACTCCAACCTCTAATCCATCCCTCGCTTCTTCCCCCTCGCACCAATTCCCTCATTACCTACATTAGCTTGTTAAAGAATAATTAGTGAAGTTCCTGTCTTTCTGTGCCCTTCATTCACCACCGTGATCAGAATGTCCCCTGGACCTGACGAAACTCCGGCAATCAATTGTGTGACATTGCGTCCTGTCAGTTAAGTTAATGTAATCAACCCTCATTTGGTGCTAATGACCTTCTGATAAGACGTCCAATGGGACGACTTCACACTTCACTGCTGCTCATCAATATTTTGTGGGCTTCGTTCCAAGTGCTGTGTAATTGATCCACGTTGCTCTTTGATCACCGCTCTCTCTGTGTACTTTGGACTCAGCTCTCAAACGGTTCCATACAGATGCAGACTCGGAGATGAAGGATCTGACCTTCAGAGATATTTACTTCAGAGCATTTAGATTATTTAAAGAGATGCATGTTGTGGTGCTCCTCAGGAACAAAACCTGAAATCATTTTTGTCTAAATCTACTCCTGAGACAAAAGTATTAAAATCTGACCTTAGCCAGACCCTCATGTTTTCAGCTTGGGTTTTTATAATAGGTAATTTCATTTTAATTTTCCAGCCTGTACTCAGTTCTAACTCTAACTGTTTGTCTCAGGTCAACAAATTTGTTGAGTTGAACACATTTTCTGCTGAGTAGTTTGCTATTTCGATCTCTGAAAGCCCTTGTTTAATCACAAGGAAACAAAGATTTTTTTCTGAGAAAATCTATCTCTGGGGGAAAAACACAGTTAAAGATTTTGTGTTCCACAAAGTTTACTTTAAAACCTCCTGAGACAGGCTTTAAATTAGAGGGCAGGGAAAATTGCACCTTAATTTTCAAACACAGTGTTTTTTTAGTGCTGAGTTGACCATAAAAAGTAATGTTGAACAACAGGAAGGCTCTGACTCTACCTGCCCAACACAAAACACTCACAAATAAACCAACTGGTCCTCAGAGGAGCTTTTCACAACCTTAGAGTCACAACCAAATACTTGCTGTGAGTATAGTAGAAGAAATTGTATTTGAAGAACACCTCAATCTGATAATATTCCAAAATCTTTGGTAATATTTGAATCCCATTTTTTAAATATAAAAAATGTGCAAATTACAAAAAAAGCCTGTAAATGTTTTCAGATGTGTGTCGTTTGAACCTGCTGATTGATTGTAAGCCTGTTAGCACTGACCCAGTCTTTGGTATTGACTTCCATAAAACAAAGGCTGTGGATGTTGTTGAATTTAGGAACATCTTAGTAAATTGTTTTTGTACAGTTAGTGTATTTTTATAATCAACAATGAATATATTTTTAGCAGATTTTGTGACCACTGTTTGGCACTCTGGTACTGGATTAGCATTTTACACTTTAACTTTTGTATTCTGGATTTAAAGTAGCCTTAGTTTGAATTAGAATCAAAATAGACTAAAAACAAACAAAAAAAAAGATTAGCAAATGAACAACATGATTACAAGTTCTTGTTGTTGTTGTTTTTTTTGTTTTTTTTTTTTTGCTTTTTTTTACTAATTACCAACTGTAAAATTGATTTAATGGGAATGAAGGTTGTTGTTCTGTTCACTTATCACTGTTTTTGTGCCACTTCCGGCTGAGCAAATAAGCAACTACTTACCTGCTGTTCCTTTATCACGTGAAAGCTTTTGTCATTGCAGTGTTTGATATTTGTTAATACAGCCTTGAAAAAGACACAATTATTAGTTTTTGCAGGTAGAATTCACAAAAAAAAGGTTTCATATGAACATAAAGAAAAATGATGAAGGAACACAGAGTGAAGTCAATGTAACCTCATGCCTTTTGTGACACAGTGTATGTTGGATGAAATGGTTTTAATGTCCAGATGTGAAGCGTAAGGTCTGGGTTTGCGGGGGCTCAACATATGGCTCCACAGAATTTAAGCTCATCAATAGTGAAACAGTCAGAAATCTTTGTTCCAATTTTCAGGAAACACATCTGAGCTGCTGCAATTTAAAAATGCAATATTCACTTCTTCCCCCTAAAAGGCAGTTAAGGACAAGGACAAAATAATACCAAACAGAATAAACAAGTTGTAAGGAGTATTTGTTCATAGAGATGGGTACTTGTGTAGTTTTAAGTATGTCACTCTCTGTTGAGTTGTTTTTTTTTCTGTTTTGAGATGATGAGCTGATGTATCGTAGGAGGGATGGAGATGTCGTCAGGTTCAACGTGGACACCAAGGAGAGCAAAGTCATTGTGGCAAACCAGTTATTTGTGAGGATGAATTTATTTGACTGTAGTAAATACAATGTTTAGCTGTGTGGTGGGGGTGTGTTACTACTGTGTGTGTGTGTGTGTGTTTTTCAACACATGTAGGACAGATCCAGAGCTGCAAAGTACCAAGTATCACCAGACATGCAACATGTTCTGTTTGCCTTCGATGTGAAAGCGGTGAGAAAACTCTGGTTTCTGTATTTTGTGCCGTGCAATTTTGTCAACGATTCATGCGACACTGACTGTGAGGCTGTCTGTTTCCACAGATCTACCAACACTCCTACGTCGCCAAGTACATCATTTACAGCCTGGTGACGCAGTAAGATCCGCCTCCTGTCATCTGGTGTCTTCTTTTCCCCGTCTCTATATTTTCTTTGCCGTTTGTCCTGTTCAATAACTTGATGCCACGACCTTGGTCTGCCCTTGAAGAGACGTCCACCATTATAATCCACATCACCTGCTCTCGCTGCCACTTCACTGGAGTGCATTTAAGTACAACTGCTGCACTGCATTTATTCCTGCCCTGTTTTTCCTCCTTTCATCCATCTACGTCTGTTTATTTCCCCGCTGCTCTGTGTTTGTCGTGAGCCAAACAATGTCAGGTTGTGCTAAAAAAGTGGGTGTATGATTGATGAAGCCTACAGGGAGGAACTGAACACACACACACACACACTGATTTCTCTGCTTTTATGCTACATTTGTATTTAGCAGTGCACAGAAAGACAAGTACTGACTTAAATCTTCCCACAGGGAAACCTGGCCCCTGAATCCACCTGAGGTGCACGAGGCCGCCCTGCAGTTTGCTGGATGGGGACCTCACGGGCAGCAGCTGGTAAGAAGGTCACATCCTCCGTGTTATTCTTTGCACAAGTCAAGTGCTGAATATCTCTCCAAAGCAGCCTGTCATGGCAGGGGAGACTCGCCAGTGATTGATGGCTGGTCACAGTGAAATAGACAAGAGGTTTCGGAACAATTTCATGCCGCTGTAAAAAAAAAGTAAGCGAGAAGAGATTTCTTTGCCTCAACCTTGACTAAAAATAGTTTTTTAATTTCAGGAACACACACGAGCTGGTGGTGAGAGCCACAGTGGCAGATGGCATCTTAGTGGCACAACCTGGAGACTTTGGGGGTATCTGTGTCTGTCTGTCTGTGTGTGTGTGTGTGTGTGTGAGAGAGAGATCAGCAACATTTGGGACAGATTTTAGAAACAGACCGGCTGATTTGGGAATCTTCCTCTGTTCCTGAAAACAGATCAGTCTTAAAAATGAGTTTCAGTTCCCGTTGTTCCTTTGTGGTAGAGGTAAGTCTGACAGAAACAATTGTTTGGCCTGAGACTGCACATTGGTGAAGTGGTTTGAGGTTTTGCCCAATAACAACAGCTGTCTGATGACTATTTTGCACACTGCAGTAGTTTTCATCAAAATCTTCAAATGTAAATTCAACAGATGTAGTGTTTCTACATTGTAAACTGACTTATATTACTATTATGTTTTATTATGTTTTTTATTGGTCTGAGGTCAAGGGTCACTAACAGGGTGGCTGAAGGCCAGTCAGGATGTTTACTGTAGTTGTAAATGTACAACTGGCCGCTGACTTTCAGCCTGTTGACAATAGTGTGATATGGTATAGTGTAACTTCACAAGAAGTGGCTATATTTATTTATTTATTTGACTTTGGTTTTTAAGCCTATTTTTCAGATGATATGAATTTGTCAGGTGTTGGAACGCAATGACGAATCGGCTCATAGATTTGTTTTTTAAATTTTAAACTTTACACATTAAATTTAAAACTCAGTCTAAGATTGAGATCAGAAAGTCCTTTATTCATTCAGCATATGTGATCCTCAACTACTGACAAATCATACAAGTCCATCGTCAGCAGGCTGTACCTTTGTTACTACTACAACGTTAAAGTTGTCAGTTAGTAACTGTTTGACACAGTGGGCTTGTAGGAGGTTTTCTGTGGATGCGATCATTAAATTAAACTAATGGTTAATCATAGTGATGAAGACATAGTGTTCAGGTGGTGCCGATCTCTGTCCTGGTTCTGATTGTCTCTTGGACCTGAAGTCAGTTGTAAGTATAGCCTTTAAACATCATCACTGCTGATGGACAGTCATTTTTCAGTGAAGGGTGTTGGTGTGAACTTCATGTAATGTTCTGTTCTCAATCCAATCAAATGGTTCACCTTCTTTCACAACACGGTGTGATCAAACCACACTACTAATTTCTGCTAACTGTTGTGTCTACAGCTATTTCCCAAGTGTGGGATCAATAAAGTTCAATCTAATCTAATCTAACAGAATAGGCCTATGTGAACAACTAAGTCTGGATTAATGAGCGTGGTGTCCTACTACAGAAGGAGGTAAACTGAGTGGACTCGTATAATAGGAAGGTTTGTCCTTCCCCTTCTTCTGTTCTTGAAAACCAAGCCAGGAATTCTTATTGGCACTGATTATAAAACCAGACATGGCTCCATCTGGTTTTGCATTAATTAATTGTTGACCAGTAATTGTTTCTGATTTTTTTTTTTTTTTTTGGTCTAGTTAGCTTACTTGTAGAATAAACTAAGCTGAACTTAGCTTGGATAGAGATGAAAACATTTCAATGTCTGCCTTCATTGTTGGGAGATGTGGTTCTGCGTAGTTTAAGCAGTGAAGTCACATGTTGACAGGAGGATAGTGGTGTGATCATGTGATGGCGTGAGGTTCAGGCTGAGTGATTGGCAGAGGCCGTTAATTTAATCTACTGGTGTTCAATCTGGGCTCATTGTTTAAAAGTGTTCTTGCCACATGACACATTTTCGGTTTTAAGTGCACCGACCTCTTCTGTAAATGAAGTTTGTAAATGAATTGTTATCCCATCTGATTGAAGGGGTTTTTAGTTGTTTTTTTTCCAGGCTGTTGATTTATAATTAGTCTTCTAATTTCTCTCTCACACTTTAAAAGCTTTCTCCTCCCGCATAATTCTTCCATTATTTTCATTTGATTAAATGACAGATACAGTGTTTCTGTAAGAATATTAACCTTTTGAGTAGGTGATGATGAGCCTGTGCCTGCAGGGGGACACAGAACGTATTATTTTGCGTATGGTACTGATTGTTCCTTTTCCGCTGCTGTTGCGTTTGCTTCTCTCTGACTTTGTGAACATCAGAGGTGGTCGAAGAAGAGCTTGACAAGCGCCGGCTTTTTATGTGTGTCTGACGCTGTGATGTCGCACGCCTTGTTTTTCCTCACAGTTTGTGAACGTAATGGTTTGTCATTAAGTTAATCAGAACTGGAGCAATTTATCATGCGGTGTTTAATCAGCATGTAAAAATGAAAGGTGTGTGTATGTGTGTGTCTGTGTGTAAGTGTGGGGTGGCAGCACTGCTGTGTGCGATGATGAGCAGATGCAGAGTGAGAGGAGCAGGGAGATGAATCCTGCTGCACTTCCCCTCATTAAATTGCAAGCAATTACTCTGCAATGACTGAGCAATCAGCCAGGCTGCCTCAGCACACACACATACACGGGCATTGTAAAGAAGATATATTCATACAAAAGTAGTAGACAAGTGCAGAATTGTAGTTGGACAGAGTGGGGGAAAATAATCAGAGCAAATAAGAGCGTGGCTTGTTAAAGTTGGACCACATTTCTCTGCACAACATTCACTTTGAAACTTGAGAACATTATTAAAAAACTCGCTTCAAAGTTGTTTAACTCTGTTTTTTTTCCTCCACTCTTTTCCTTCACGATTGAAATGTTTTTATGTTTCCTCTTTTCATCTTTTGCTTTATTCTTTGGTTTCTTTTTCCTTTAGTTTAAGTCTCTTTACCATTTCAAGTGAAGAAGTTTTGTGCGTGACAAAAATCCAATCAGGCCGCCTGTTCTGGTCGTCACTAGTTTCTGTTTGCAGCCAGTGACTTTTTTGGTATGCTTTGCTCAATTTAGAAGAGTTTGGCTCATTCTGGAAAATATCCCAGTTAACTTGAAGTTATGTTTTGTAAACTTTTACTCATTATTTTGTTGGCTTTGAGCTGACTAACAGATTGGGTTTCAGTGTTTTAGTTTTGGCTAATTGTGATATGGTTGTTGTAGCCTTGATAATTAGCTATATGTGTTAAGGTTGGCTTAATTATAAGAATTCATTATTTTTGCCCTTTTGGATGATAGTTAATTTATGCCTATGTTTTTACTCTAGATTGTTTGTGAATATGTGAATATGGCCTGACTTTAAGCCATTCTTTCTTTATTCTAACAATTTAAGCAATTATTTCCTGGCTATAGCTGCAATCAGCAGTTTGGCTAACATTTTGAAATTATTTTCTTCAGGAATATTGTAATAATAATGTCCTTGAGAGTCTGCGGTCAATGGAAATATAGAGCTGTGGACAAGGCTTTTTATCTGCATTTTTTCCAATGTTATAAATCCCAGATTTTCCTAAATGTTATGTGACTTATGATTAAAAAGTCAAATTTAAACAAAGCTGAATTACCATTACTGAATTCTATCAGCTCATATACACAGAGGCGTGTGTTAGGTGACGCCAGAGGACGAGGCGGACCACAAATATTTGGACACGCCAATGAATACTCAGCCTCTCCTGCTGAGCCTGCAGCCACCATCAGTCATTACAAGTCGATATTGTAACAGAAAAGCATGGGCTTTTAGATTTGAAAGGGGTTTTATTATATAATTATTTTCCTGGATGTACTGATCATTTTGCACTGTCACTAATGACAGCTGCCTGTGAATTGTGTGGTGTCTCTGGGTGTTTTTTTTCACCGTTTGCCACCCACCGGCTCCCGCTAATTGACACGTTCTCTCTTCAGATGTTGATCCCACAATGGTAATCTTTGATTTTTCTCGACAGCAGCCTCAGATCTGAATAAAAAGAACTGTGGCCTTTTATTTCCCTTTGTGATGGAGCTGATGTTTGGATTAAAGTGTAGCATTTTTCACCGGCGGTGATGTCACACAGCGGGGGCCTCAGGTAGCAATCAGTGGCTGAGACCAGCTCAGGATGAAGCAGAGGAAACAGTGGAGGGTATTGATGGGAGAGCTTAAAGTGTCACTCACTCTCATGTCCACGTTCTGTCTTTATTTGTTCCAGCAGCGATCACCATTGATGCTGAGGATTTATATCAGCAGTAAAAAACAACATTGATCTCAGCCATCGTCCACTGAGAGACGGCGAAATCACGTCTCTAACAATGCTGGCGAAAATGTGTGTGGGTTTGTGTGCGCGTGCGTGTCTGCCTGCGGGTGGCTGATTAGCAACAATAAGAGTTTCCTTTCTTAAGCTTTGGAGACAAATCCATCTAATGAGACAAATATCCGTTAATACAGTGCTCGAGGCGGGTGTTTACGGAAAGTGTATTAGTTTCTGAGTGTCACTGAGCTGCTGGCTGTGTCTCTGTGGATTAAGATTAATTTAAACTAAAGAAAAAGACAAGGCGGTGTTGTTCCTGAAGCACTTTTATGCACAAAGGTAGATTTGATGTGTCGTGGAGAGACATTTGAAAACAACAGGGTAAAATTACATTGTGTGGAAAAAGCAAGTGAACCGCTTTACTTTTTATGTGTGTGTATGTGTAGAAATTAGGGTGTTAGGTGTTAATTGGTCCAGCATAATACAGATTTTAAAGGTTAAAGTCAGAATCATGTTGATTGTGTTAATCTGATGGTTTTTCATTAATTAACTTTCTACCATTTAATCATTTTTGGGTGACAGGAGCCAATCACAGCAGTCGTCGACCAAGGGTGGGGTCCACCCTGTACAGTTCATGGATCCATGTAGATACAAGAAAATCATTCACATCCAGACTCATACCTTGAGTCAATTTAGTATTTTTTGGCTCTGGTTCCAGGAGGTAAACTCCATGGACAGACAGGGGAATCATGTGTACTCCATACAGGAAGCCCATCAGTAACCACCAGGCATTGAACTAATGAACTCTGTGCTGTGAAGATAAAGCACTTTTATTTTCAATTCTGAGGAAAACAGTCAGAACTTTTAAAGAAAAAAAGTGTGTATATATATATATATATATATATAAAGCTGTAAAACTGAAGCACAGATGACTTTGATATCATAAATGCAAGCTGCAGCGGTCAAGCTTTTTACAGCAGGACATTAAATTTGAGGGTCAAGTCTACGGTTGAATACACATGACTGTTTAAATCAGCGTGCAGGGATTAATGAAGAGCGATGGCTGCACTTCTTCTCTGCAGATCTTCATATTTGAAAACAACATCTACTACAAAGCCACGGTGGAGAGTCGAGCCATTCGGCTGGTTTCCACCGGACAGGACGGCGTCATCTTCAACGGCCTTGCTGACTGGCTGTATGAGGGTAAGACATGGTCATACTGTCAGACAAACATCCATCCATCCATTTTCATCCGCTTATCCGTTACCGGGTCGCGGGGGCAGCAGTCGCCACCCAAATCACATTGCACCGTACCAACCCCCCTAAACCTTCCTGCGGGTGGTGAGTCCACCAGAAGGTACCAACTGCCCTAACCGGGATTCGATCAAGTTCCACACCAATGACGGAGACATTGCCTTTGGGCCAAAGTGCCACTGTCAGACAAACAGTTGCACGAATCCCACCCAAAAGATAGCGTCTCTTGTCCCTCAGCTTTAGTGAGAGTTGACCAGGTTTAAGACAGATTGAAGATTCCTGACAAATGTATTCAAGAAAAATGAATGGTGTCTGTAGACAAATAAAAACAGAGGCCATATATACTGTAGTAATGAACATCCTCCTCCGGGCCTCTGGGGAGGACTTCTACAACAATGTGGCTCCTGGCTGCAGTTATTCGCCGCAGCGGTGTTGGCAAGACTGCAAACTGACACAGGGCAACAAAGCTCGGCTCCACAGCCTGCATTTTAATTAATCCCCGAGGTGGTGGATGAGGTTAAGACCTGTCAAAATCCCACACACCAAACTGATGGAACCATTTGACCTTTGGTCTTTTCATGGGGGGCAGTGGTCATTCTGAAAAAGCAGAGCCGCTGAACTCAAGCCACAGCTATGGCATAACAACAACTACAGTGTAATATTTTTAAGTCTGGGTTTCGGCTAAAATTAATATTTTTCTGCGGATTACACGTCAGTCAAAGACTTAGAGATATTTGGACCACATTTGTCATTGGCATGTGGTCCGTCAGACTGTCAGATCATCGCTGTAAGTGGCTCCACATCTGCATTATATCAGGAGTGCTATGCCAAATATATTTATAACTGCAGACAGTATGAAGGGAAGAGTACAGGAATAAAAAGGGAAATAAACAAAGCTACTTCTCTGCTGATTTAGAAGGTCAATAAACTCTTTCCTGCAGAGTTTATGTTTTCAATCTGTGGTTTGGCTTTGCTTCAGTAGAACATGAGGTGCATTTGTACGTCATGTTCTCGGAGATTTATGCATTGGTCAGATGTGCGTGTGTAAACAAACAGAGCATAGTCAATGGAAAAAGTTGACAAATCTCTCTCCGAATGCCACTTTCTTTTATTCACTGTTCAACCGTAACGTTACGACCGACTGCCTAGTTTTGTGGTCGTTCCTTTTTCTGCTGCCAAATTCAACCAACTGCGCGGTTCTCTGTCCAGGCTCATTCTATCAGCTCCAACATTAATGAGCTACAGCGTCATCTGTTGGACTGGACCGTGTATGCCAGATTTCTCTGTGTCATTATTGAGCATGGCCCACCCAGGATATCATCGCTTGTGTTTTGGCTTTTCCTTCTTTGGACAGTGATAGACACTGACTGGGAATTCCCTACAGCTGCAAGACAAACAACCAATTGTCCCTCGTCAAAAAAAAAAAAATCCTAAAACCTGCTAAATTTGGTGTGCATGTAATTATAATTAAATATATAATTAATCAAATGTTTTTGTACAAGTATGTGTACATTGAAACATGCATACATAGTACAGAAAAAGTGTAATATAAACATAGACACACAATGGCAGAGTTACGAGGCAGCCTCTTCTGTCAGCCGTGTCTTGATTTGTTAATTTTTCGTAAATGAAACTTCCTGGAATTCTTGTTGTAACCTTTTCAGAGTAGAACTTGTCAAAAGTTACTCTTTTTATATCTAAAACGGTGAGATGCAAAGAAAGGCCTTTTACAAGCGTTGAACTTTTTAGGGCTTGGTCTGAGTCACTGTGTGACGGCAGACGGCAGATGTGCATTGACTGTTCATCAGCCTATTAGGATTTATAAGAACCTCTGTTTTGTTCATGAGCAGATTTAAAATTACATTTTAAAGAATACATCAAAATGAAAAAAATCATTGTGATTTTCACAGCCCGAAAAACAGTTCCGTCTCTGTCTTTTGGCGCCTGCCCTCGATGCTCCTCTCCCCGAGGCATGATTATTGTTTGTGTGTGTGATTCTTCTTGGACCAGAACATCTGCCTCAGTTTCAGCGCGTCTCTACTCCGGACTAGTGTTCAGACAGTTTAATAAATTCATCGGTGAGCTGCTGAAACCTCCCGACAGATGTTACACTGAGAAAAAGTTTGTAATTTTTCGAAGACTTCTTACATAATTCTTACATAATCTTGGCCGAATGTAACACTTGTATTTTCAAGGTTTGTACTGAACTTTTTTTAATGCTTTTGCTCATTTAAAAAGACATTTTCTTTCTTGAAATTGCATTTCAAATTATTCTGCAGCGTTAAGACAAACAGTGTGGGATAACGGTGACAAAGTAATTGTAAAGCTTAACTGTTGTTTAGAGTTAAATTATGTTACAGTTCACGGACAGCTGCAGGGTCTGTTCTAATTGCTGTTTTTATTTAATGAGATTATTGAAAGCGTGATAAAGTTAGTAATTACTTTTTAAAGGCAAGAAAGATTTGCTCTCTTAACATTTCGTACTATTTTTAGTTGATTTATCATCAGCTAAATTACGATCTCACAAAAGTTATGACAGCAGAGGGCGACTGGTAAAAAAAACAAGAAATGGACTAGTTTCTTGTTGCAGAAATCTGCTCCGCTGATGTTGGAAACACGTCTGTGAAGCTTATTCAGTTGCACTACAGATTGTTCAGGTTTTTCTAAACCAAATGAATGTTGATGTTTTTATAATACCCTGCTGTTGGAGTGTGACACCAGTGAAATGGTGCACAAAAGCAGACACTGTTGGTAGTTGATGACTTGACCTTTTAATGCTAACGTTAGTCGCAGAAGAGTTAATTAAATGTACTGTTTAAACACACGGGGCGGAGCTGAATCAGTAACCTTTAAAATTTAGAATAACTATTCGTTTACAAAAGAAATTTCTGTATTGATTTCTCACGAAACAGTCCTTGCTGTATTATATATGCCTTTATGGGAGCTTCAGGTTACCAAACAAATATCAGTTGTTTTATTTTGGCAAATGACAGTTTTGTAGTTGGTAGTGACAGTTGTAGTTTTATAAAAAAAAATGTTGTTTTTTTAAATCGTGGGTGTATGCTCTGGGTTCTGGTGTAGGGATGTGGTCTGTTCTTCTGAAGGCAGCAGATACAGACAGCTTTGTGTCGGTCTCTGACAGCAGTGAGACAAACAACGCTGTCAAATCATCCTGACAGCTGCCTGTTTTTGAGGATGTTCGAGGACATGGAACAAAAACTGTCCCGGCCTTCTGTGCAGCATGTACGAATATTTTTGGTATTTACAACGAGCTGTTTAACATTCACTGTGTTGACTGTGTGGCTGTGGGCCATGGAAGAACACCATGTTGGTATTCTTAGGCTGGGCTACATGAGTACAATGTGGCTTTTTAGTTTGAAATATGTACAAACTTTGGTGGTCAACCAGAGGTCAACAAATACTGGGGCCAAGAATGGCACCAGACCATGGGTCCCTTTTATTGATTATGTGTGAGATGCATGTTTAGCTTTCTTGAAAATGTCAGTTTTCTCTTCTAATCACAGAGGCCTCTAAATACAAACATATCCTGACACATCCATAGAGCTTGTCGGAATAAAAGTCTCTGAAGAGCTTTTATTTATAAACAGAGTAGACAAAAGACAAGCCTTTGTCTTCTGAAGTAAAGAAAGGTCAGTTTAAACTAAGGATTTTTTTTTGTTACTTTATATTTTATCAGTTTAATTTGTTGTCGTCTTGACTACAAAAAAGGAAATTAAACCAGTTTCTGTTAGGGACTTTGTTCAAATACGAGGCTGTTTGTATGTTGCTATAGAATCAAGGACAAACCTATATGTCAGTTAATTATCTTTTTAAGTAAAAAAAAAGACAAACATGAAAACATTGTGGTCTTGGATGATGCAGTAGCCAGACTGTAGGCAGACTTTTCAACATCACCTCTCTCATTCTATTTGGGATGTCTTTTGTTATTTGCAAAATCAAAGATGGTTTCAAATATTTCAAGGGCGTTTCTCCTGCTTACTGCCGATCCTTTATCATATAAAAAATTTAATCACCGTATCTGACCTTCAAAACATTAAACATAGTTTTTTTTCCTTTTTATGAAAAAAAGGAAATTCTCATCAAGACAGAGTGAAACTGTTGCACCGTCCTTAAAAATCCTGCTAGACTGCAGCAAACATGTTAAACCTTTAAACCCCTGCAGTTCATAACCCCGTGCTGCTGCAGCGTCTACACCACCAACCCTGTGAGAGCCAGCCTCACCTTCACCCTCACCTTCTACAGAGTGAGGAAAAAAATATTGCCTGACATTGTCTGTGATGGCAAAATTGCTGGGTCCTTTTCAAGGTTGAGCTGATCATTTTTGCCTGTAGAAGCCTTTTGTGTGGAGCATCATGTGTAGGTGCATTTTAGTGAAAGAAGAGAAAGAACCTCTTAAAGAGTTTTTCTGCCCCCTTCTGGATGAAAGAGATTGAAATCATGGGCTTTCAAATTGTTGTTCTTTTTTAGTCTTATTGTATTTATTTTTAATCTTTAGTTCCAGAAGCAAAAATAGCCACAAGAGAAGAGTATTGGTTTACTTCCTGCTCCTGTTATTTATGTTTGAAGTTAGACATAGAATATGATCAAACTTGATTGATATGAATTTACATTTAAACAAAGAAATAATTGAAAAGGATTAATAATCTACCTAACTGTCTCTGGTGGACGGGTCCCTGCAGGAGAATCGTTGTTTTTGTCGGGTTTTTATTTCATTTTATACTCTGACAAAAACAGTCGACGTCTGTACTCTGCTTTGAAATGTTGCTGAAGTAATATTCAATTCCATGAGTACTTTTGACATGGTATATAATGACAAATTATCAAAGTTACCACAACACAGAACAATACAGTCTTCTAACTGTTAAACAAAAAATAAAAAAAGTCTCAAAAACAAGTGATCATCAGTAGATGAATGATAAATGTTTGTTGTTTCACAGCCAAATTATCTGTTTCTCTGCCATTTGGCTTTTCGTTGTCACATTTCAGAGGAGATTCTGCAGAGTCACATCGCCCACTGGTGGTCTCCAGATGGACTGCGGCTGGCCTACATGACCATCAATGACTCAC